ATAAAAATAACTTTATGCTTTCTTTTCCCTTTAACCCTTTCGCCGATTTTTCTGAACGAGCCGCTGTGTCGGAAGTGTGCACTTGCGGAAGACCTGCAATATCGCCGGTAGAAAGGAAAAGCTGAAAAAATTATCACACAATACAATTAGAAAGTATAATTTAATAATAATGTAATTTCGTATGGAAAGTTTCAAAACACGGGTATATACTATAGTAACCGATCGTGCATAACGAGCATCAATCGTTGGCTGACTATAGTCACTGCTCGTAGCGAAAGGGTTAATGTATACAGATCATTGATAAAGATATATACGTACTAACAATAGGTATCATACATTTACATCTAAAGAAACTGATGTTGGAACGTCTTGCTTAATTAGAATCACATGTAAGTCACGGATTTGTACAAAGAAGAAACGTACATCAGATGTTTTAAGTATGAAAGTACCTACGTACGTACATGGAATTGGGTATCTAGTTGGCACACGTTAGCTAGAGATAAGAGATAAGTTTTTATCGACACTAAGCGCGCAATGCAAATGTTAGATAATGAATAAAAGTAAGACGAATGAAGAAATAAAATTGAAGTTGAAATGGCAAACTTATTTATATTATTAGACTGTGTGTATGTAGTACGTACAATTTACATGCATTGTATGTTTCATATTTTTATAATGTAAACAGAGGTATGTATGTAGTAACGAAGATGTCAGATTGTCAAATAAAATAAGATACCGTTATCGATGAAATAATTTTTTTTTTTTTTTTTCAATTTGCCAACAGCGAGCTAAGAATCACCCAAGTGTGCATGCAACGAACCTTTAAATCAACTATTATATTACAGTAGCTTGTTGAAAATTAGAACACTCTAAAATGCGATAAGATTCTTATTGACACCCAAGTCAAATATGATGTGGTAACTTGTAAGTGAATGCAATTAATAAACACACCTGTCGTAGATATCATGTTCATTATCTACTATTACCAGCGATAGGTTCAAGCTAGGCACGAACAGCTAGGTAGATTTGAACACACATCTGACTGATCAGATTCGAATGCGGTGAATATTTTCAGACTAACAATAAATAATAAGGCAGAATGGCAAATTGAATCGATAACCTGTAAAAAATAAAATTTCAACAGTAATTCCTTACATGTAATAACAGCGGCAAGCAGCCTCACCGCTGCGTACGGAGGGACACAACCATGCCAAACTGGTTGCAAGATGTATTGTGCGAACGTTAGGGCTGTGATCGCGTTTCCAGTTGGCACCAGGATGAACAATGCCACGTACAGGTATAGAAATGCCGGTAGGGGTCCAAAAGCATCGTTAATGTAAGCATAGTCGCCTCCAGACTTTGGGATCATAGTACCTAGAAATTTACGTATTCTTTCTTTAAACGAGTAACTTGATTAACAAGAAAGTAAAAAAATTACTTAAATTAATTGTGCTTTACATACGTAACATGCGTAACATGTCCTTGTACAAAAGAACGACGAATGAATTTTAAAGAATAAAAATTAGTTTATTTGAAAAAGAACAAAGAAAGGGCAAGGAACGAAAATGATTGATTTCATTGGAAATGAATCTATGGGCATATCTTACGGCGGAAAATAGCGGAAATAAGATATAACAATCTATGTAACGTAGATATCATAATCAAGAATATTCTTGCCGAGTGTGTCCGGCAGTAAATCAAGAAGCAAATAAGTACCTTTTAAGATACCATCGATCTTAAAAGCAGCACTCAGGCGATAAAAAAGGCGTTCAATCGCAGTAATCTCGTACACCAATGATTTCAATGACTTATCTTTCATATTGTCAGAATCATATCGTATTTAAAAAGTATCATGTACTGTCTACGCTATTTCCT